GGTGGTACAATAATTTATGTTAGCTGGTAATTGTAAACAATGAATCTGACTCTATTGAATGGACCAGAAATGAGTCATACCTTTCAGTTTCCCTAATGAAAGCGAATTTTGTGGCACGTGTCCAAGACCAAGACTATTAACAGTCGGGTCCTCTTCAATCCAATCTCATTTTCTGAAACATCTGCCTCCAACAGCTGATATATAGGGTTTTCTTACCTAACAGCCACAACCCACAACATTATTATTCATAGCTGCTGAGCATTGCCTTGATTATAGATTATAGGGGTACCATCAATAGTTTTTCACGTTGTAATTCATTGAGGTTGACATGATCATCATTTTAGAGTAAAGCAGTAACTTTTTTCAACTACCTGAAATTCAGCGGTTTGGAATGGATATGTATGTACTATTTATTGTTTCTGATCCTACGAGGATTTGCAAATAAAATTTGTCCAAAATAATTATAGAATTCATGGCGAGCATTCCTATGCAGAATAGTTTTGGTTGAGAAAGTAGGTTTTGAAGAAGGGTACGTATATAGTTCATCTGCAAAAACAATATTATTGCAAAAAATATCGTATTATTGAGACTGTAATGGATATCTTGTGGCCGAGTCGATACAAAATCGTATTGTTAATTTTGAGTCGACTCTTGATTTTCAGTTGGTTTGGTTTTATGTCATCAACTTCTAATATTACTGAATTAATTATTAATTTGCATTTCATAAAATGTCTGTTTAGAAAATCACTCTATAGGATATAAAGGTATCAACAATATACTATCCCAGACTGCACAGAATATATTCTGACAACGTTCAAATATACTTATTTTAAGAATAATCTTATAGACTGATGTTCTCAGAATGATCATTGAATATTCTCATTCTGCAACGAATATTCTTTGAACATTCAATTCGATATATTCTTTTTGAATATTCTGAGAATATTCAGAATCGCACTAAAATATATTATAAGTTTACCCTGAAACCACCTATTATTTTCTAGCCTCAATATGCTGATTATCATCTTTTTATTCTTTTTATTTATCAATAAAGTTTATGGCGAAGTGGTAAGGTTTGAGGTTCGTAAAAATTTAATCACAAGATAGGTTCACATCTCCACTGGAGCAATTATTTTTTAAATTTTCTTCCCCATCCTCTAATATACTAGAAATTTTCTCAGAATGTTGTGACTATATTGTGAGAATATTCTGAGAATACTCAGATATTCTCGAATAAGATCCTATGAACGTTCTATGAATGATATAATGTGCTATCTGGGATAGATCTTAAAATTGAATCCCCTTGTATAAACATATGTGTGGCGCGTGCCAAAGTACAGGCGGTAGTCTTCATCCTTCGTTATATTCTTCAAGAGAAGCATCTGCTTCTAAACAGCTGATATGCCCAGATACTCCAAGTTCCAATAATAACCCTCCATTGAAAATCGTTTAATTTTCATGTATGAAGAAGAAATATTTCTACGTACGACTGTATTTTTTTCTTGCATTTTGGTAAATTATATCTTTGGGAACTTCTGGGTAGTTTATTCTCAACACCGAAGTTGCGATAAATAATCAAGGGATATACTTACAAATTAATAATAATATAAAAAAATTGAAACAATAATATTTTGTTAGTAAAAATTCAAGTTCAATACTTCAATATTATTTGTACAACTACAGCTATATTTATTTTATGTCAAACTGACAGACTTTGCTACGCCATTAATGGTAACACAAGGGTATATATAGATAGACCAGCGATTCTTTCAAACCTCAAGGCTATCAGAAGGTTAGATAAGTTAATATGAGGAAGTAAAATATATCTACTGCATGAAAAAGGAAAGAACTTTTATCCTAACTTGTGCTAAATTAACCTTTTTCCTGAAAAGTATATTTAAAAAAAAATCGACTCCTCGCAGGGATTGAACCCCCGTCACCACCGTGGAAGTCAGGTACACATACCACTAAGCTATCGCTTCACTCGTAGTAGTCGTTGATTCTCAATATAAAGAAGGTAAAGAAGGAAGAAATATCATGTGTTGTGGGCAACGTCACTTGACTTCGATGTTTGAAAGATTTGCTCGTTTAGTGAAAAAATCAGTAATAACAAAGTCACCGATAAAAATTATTTTATGTCAAACTGACAGACTTTGCTCCGGCATCCATGGTTACATGATTGAAAACACCTCCGACACTGATAGATCGATCAGAATTGAAAGACAGCTCTAATGTTTTCGCGATAATACAAGTTGTCACTGGTTTGTGATTGGTCAGGGTCAGATTATATGAAGGACTTAATGTGAAACAATCACAAGCCTTAGAAAGGTGAAAATGAGATATTTGACTTTGAAAGTTGAAAAAAATATATAAAAACCAGGAACAACTTTAATGGTTTTAGTCTTATAAAGGTCGATGCGTCATGCTTTATTTATAAAATTACTTCAAACTTGATGAAAAACAGGCTTTTTTTGAAAAAAATGTGACCCAAAATCTTACATACGATTGCCCTAAATTTTGTCGAGCTCTACCTCATTTTGAACCCTTGATGTGTGGCTTGTCATTGTTTTCACATGTTGAGTTAAATAGTCAGTAGTAACAAAGTCACCGATAAAAATATGTAGAGCTATATAATAATAGAAATAATGAACCAGGGGATAACAAAATGTTAGGAAAAAAGAGGCAATACAGGGTGTTATCAATAATTATTCTTATCAGACACACACAATAAAAATCAGTATCATGAGCTAGTAGGAATATTTTCATTTTTGAAAATTATTATAGACCCTATCCCATTCCAATCCATTATGAAAACCCATTTGAGCAAATATTCCAAAACAAATAAAATATATTTAATCAACGAGGGTAGACGATTGATGAAATATAAAACCATTCCATTAATACACGAATTATAATAAAGCATTCCCTAAAGGTCAATTACTACTAGAATGTTTTTTTCTGAATAGGTAAGTATAAGTACAGGCGGGAAGCATTGAAAAGCTTACCAGTGTTCTTTTGTTGAAGGATGGTCGTTGGTGCGTGCTGCCAGTGGCGTAGCCAAAAATATCTAGTTCCCTGCTTTATTCTAGGAAATTCTATTCTGGACCCTCGTAATGCTATACATTCCTATGATTAGAGACACCTGTAAAAAATGAAAAGTGTGTCAAAAACATACTCAAGGTGGGGCAAACTCGAATTTATTGAGAACCCGTTTTTTCATTCATACAATTTCAAAGGATTTTGATTTTTCATGATCTCTTTTTGGATATCCAACAGATATAATTCAATGTTCGACGTGGCAAATAGCCAGGAAAGTAGTTGTTTTATGTTGAATATTCAGAATTATGATATTATGTGCATATCTTTATATGAAGGAGAATGCAAATTCTCTACTTCAGAAGATTTTGTTTTCAAATTCTTATCGTGTGTGTTCAATAGATGTAATTCAATGTTCGTCGTGGCATATAGCCAGGAAAGTAGTTGTTTTCTGTTGAATAAACCGAGAATTAATATTTTCATCACATGGAGAATGCGAATTCTCAATGTATTTCTTTATACAGTGTGACCCATTTAAGATGGAAGCACCCTTATAAAACTTACATTTTTCAACCGATTGGACTGATTTTTTTTTGTTAGGTAGATATTCAAAAAGTCTATTAGGACACCAAATATCATGAATAAATCTCCATTTCCAGGGCCAACTAATCTGATTTTTCAAGGTCAAAAATCTAAAAAAATTACTAGCGATTTTTTTAGAAAAAATCTGACTACACCACTGGATTTGTGACATTTTCAAATGGGTAACATGTGAATTACGTTGAAATGCGTCAATCAATAAAAAAGTTATAAAGGAATGAAATTTGAAAAATATGCCGTTTAATCAACCCACCAATTCATGTTCAGGAATTTTATGAAAATTCTGTATACTCCACTGGATTCAGGATGTCTCGAAATATTACTGATCACAGTTTCATCGAAATCTGTTCAGTAATAAAAATTGATGGGTTGATTAAACGGCATATTTTTCAAATTTCATTCCTTTATAACTTTTTTATTGATTGACGCATTTCAACGTAATTTACATGTTACCCATTTGAAAATGTCACAAATCTAGTGGTGTAGTCAGATTTTTTCTAAAAAAATCGCTAGTAATTTTTTTAGATTTTTGACCTTGAAAAATCAGATTAGTTGGCCCTGGAAATGGAGATTTATTCATGATATTTGGTGTCCTAATAGACTTTTTGAATATCTACCTAACAAAAAAAAAATCATTCCAATCGGTTGAAAAATGTAAGTTTTATAAGGGTGCTTCCATCTTAAATGGGTCACACTGTATATACAGGGTGGCATTAAAATAAGTGCAAATATTTCAAACACTAAGAAAGCTAGACGTGTACTATCGAATGGCACTAATAAAAAAAATTTTGAGATCAAAATAAAATTTGAGGTTAGACCTCTTTTTCCACCCAAAGTTTTACACTGTAGCAGATCTGACGTCACCTCTGTTCGAAATTCCATGCGGTAGGCACAATCACGCGGAGTTCAATCATTTAAATTGTATTAAAGTGGCGTAGTTGATTTTTTTCTCGTATTTTGTTCAATTTTTGGGATGGAATTTCTCGTTAATTAGAAGAATTATAAAAAATCTGATATCATGGGAATGTTCCTTATACTGTATCATATTAATGTGCTGAATATGTGCACTTATTTCAAAAACACCTTGTATATCCATTTTTTTGTTTTCATAAATATATCTGAGAATATTCCTTTTCAATATTAATGAACAAGTTTTCGAAGTGTGAAAATAAATTGAACAGCTAGTAAACGCCAACTAATTTCAAGAAAATCGCTCCCCCTACATCAAAGCGCGCGCTCATGTAATCTACCCCATGCACACACACATGACGTCGGGCATATGCAGCTGTCCCTGTCCCCCCTAGCTACCGTTACGCCTCGTATCCTATACCCACCAGTCGCCACTCACCATTCATCCTCCACAACACACCAACGGTTTTCCAAACACCGGTACATACCCAAAACCTAACCTCAAACACAAGAAAAAACGAAAAAAAAAAATTGAGAGAACACTCAGTGTGGTGAGCAGTGTTTCTAGTGAACAGTGTAATGTGATTTCCCCGCGATGACAACCAAAAAGAATTCCTATTCCAACCCGGCTTTCTGCCAGCAGAGCGAATTCCAAAACGGCCGACCGCCCAACGTTTCGAGCCCTCAGGGCAGCGTCAGGCGGTCACCCTTGGGGGCCCTGACCATTCCCAAAGTGTCGGACATCGAAGAAGGTCTGGGGGAACAGGAGTTCTACGAGGAAGTGGTGGTGGACGCTGAGGGATTCATCACGGACAAGAAGTTCGTGGTGGTCGCCCAAAATAACGAAGGAAAGAAATACATACAGGTAGAGGACCCAGTGGTTTAGCAGAACCATACACTTTGGATTTTAAAATTTTTTGTTCGGCCATAATTTAAGACTAATTTATTACCCTATTTCCTAGTTTATTGCTTCTTGATTAATGCAGAAAAAAACGTGGGTCCTGTTAGCTAAGCCAGCAGATCCACTTCGTAAATAATAGTTCAAACTAGTTATACCATAATTTAAGGCTATTTTAAGGCTCTAATCCTAGCCTATAGCCGATTTTTTAGCACATTATTTAAAAAAAATCATGGGTTTTGCTAGCTTAACCGTTAAGCGTTAAGCTGGCAGAACCAAATCTCAAATAGAAGTAATAATATAAGAATATTGAGTACACCATAATTTAAGGCTAATTAAAGGCTCTTCATTGAATCTATTATCGATTTTTTTTGTTAATAATTTTCTGCAAGAAATTTCCCAAATTCAACATGAACATATATGACAACAAAATAGATCATCAAAAAAAGTTCAATCACGAAACGAATTTTACCACATAATTTAAGTCTAATTGAAGGCTCTTATCATATCCTACTGCCGATTTTTTCGCACATTGTTTTTTTTTATTCATGGGTTCTGCTAGCTAAACCATTGAGCTAGCAGAAAGCAAATCTAAAATATTGAGTACACCATTATTTGAGGCTATTTTAGTGCTCTTTGTTGAACCTATCATCGATTTTTTGTTATCCTCTCCCTATCCTCCCTTAATAGGAATTTTCTTTCGTGCACTCCAAGAGATAAAAAAAACAGCCATTCGTATGATTTGCAGCATTCGCTTATACGCATGCTACAAACTTCATTATCGTAATTCCGTGCTCGTTGAACAATATATTATTTTCTGTATATGTCAATAATTTCGAAAAATCTTGAACAACTCAAGAATGGTGCACGCTATACATTTGTGATGTTCTGGATGAAGTTACATTAGAATTCAGCGTAGATTCCAAAAATTCAATAAAAATGGTACATTCTATTCAAAATAACGAAGTTGACGTCTATCTCCGGTATTACCGGAAGTTGCAGAAAACTGGAATTATTTCAGTTGAAACGAGCACTTTGGAAAACCCCTGTAGGTACGAAAAATTTCCGTAACCAGTTCCAGTAGTTTCCTATATACATATCGACTCAGCTCATCGTGAAAGACCCTGTACATGATATAATTCTCAATGAATGATAAATATTTGATTTTGAAAGAGGTTGAAGAATCTATGTGAACCTTTATTTGCCATCAGTTTCCTAACAATGCAATTATTAGGTGCCTCAGAGCGAAGATAGGCTTGGTAGCAGATATGGACTACCACCTACCGAAGACCCTAAACAGGGCAGCAGATACGCCCCTCCACAATTCAGACAGAAGGAAGCCAAAATCACCAGAACCCAAAGTATGCGGTACGAGTACATCCAGATGCAAGAACAAGATTCGAGAATGGCAACACTGAAAACAACACCCAGGAAGATACGGTACCACGACGATATGGAAATCACACCATCAAGTCGGGTACATCGATACGCTGTGATAGAACCTGAAGAGGAAACCGAATTGACATCTAACAACACAAGGTATACCTACAATAATTCGAACAACTCTACAAGGACTGTTCAAACCCACTGTTTTCTTACAGGTACGCCTTGGTACCAGTAGACCAGCTAAATAACCTCGTAGCTGCACAACCAACCGCACCTCGCCAAACCAAAAACAGATACGAATACATCCAGGACCACCAAATGCCTCAGGCACCACCTCAGAGCCCCAGCAGATACGACTACATCCCCAATCAGCCCAAGGCTCACAGCCCCAGCAGATACGATTACCTTCCCGATCACCCAAAAGCCCCAGCAGTCAACCAGAGCCCCAGCAGGTACGACTACCTCCAGAAGCCCCAGCAAGGTAGCCCCAGCAGACAGGTACGCTACGAGTACCAGCGGCAGCCTCCCAGAGGCAATCCCATAGCTACCCAAAAGCTCCACGAGCTTCTCAGCACCCCTAGGAAGCCTCTGCAGACCAGGAACCAAGTGACCTCGCCCCCGGCAGCCAGGAGATTAGCATCGCCTCCTCTGTCGCCGATTCTTAGCGAGTTCCAGGTCAAGACTCCTCCGAAGCCGAGAGGCACTACCCCCAAGGCCCAGCAGAAGCTGAACTACGCTCTTGGTACGAGACAGCTGGCGCAGCAAGACAAACGATCTACCGCCATAGTAGCCCCGATGTGCTCTAGCCCGATTCAATCGGTCTACAGCGAAACGACCTACTCGAAATCGGGGTCGTGGTTGAATTTGAGCGTGAAGCAAGCTCCTGCGCAGGCGTGGTTGTCTTTGGTGGCGATGTTGATGTTTGTTACCGGTGCGGTGACGGCGGGGTTGTGTTTTTATATGATTTCGAACATGGGGAGGCAGTACTTTTTGGACTTTGGGGCGGTGGCGGGGTTCACGTGTCTGGTGTTGGGGTTGCTCGGGTTCAGGAGCAGGAAGGTGTCTTGGTTGCCCAACAGGAACTATATTTCAGGTAAGGTTTTGTGTTTGAAATCGTTGTGTTCGCTTACTAACGCAACTAGACTAAAATAGGATAATAACTCCTTCTCGTTGTATTTCAATTTTGTTGTGTGTTTCACTCTGAGAGATCTTTTCCAACTATTTAACCGTAACTTGGAGAATGAGAAATTTTACAGGAACCTCGACAGGAACAGACATTTCAAGATTCAAAATCCATCTTCAAGCCACACTAAATTCAAATCATATTTTCATCAGTACTCAGTAGCAATAGAATAATGATGATGAAAATCAAATTTCCAGTAATGACATAATTAAAATCATAATTAATTTTCCGAAAATCGATCATGTTGTGGAGAAGCGTACGTGCAATGATAATGACTTCGAAAAAGAAATTTATGTCATGAGAATTTGTATCACGTAGAACTTTTGAGTCTCTACCAACGTTAGTGGAAAAAAATCTTTGAAACAGTGGCGTCATTTCAGTGAATACTAGGGGGGAAGGGGGATTTTTTTTGTGTTCAAGGTCAAAGGGCTTCAAATTGAAAATTAGATGTCTTTCAGAATGACAACTCCGTCACATTATTATGAAATTGATTTAATATGCTCTGAAAATAGGAGCAATAAGAAAAGCAAAAAATTTTTTTTCATGTTCTGGTCCCCACAAAAAGGAATATCCTGTAATGTTCAGAGAACATCGTGAGAACCAAGGGAAATAATGTAGAAATTGGTGTTCTTCTTAAATTTCTGTAGGTTATATGCCTCGGGGAACACCTCCCTTGGCAATGTGTTCCAGAGCCTCGCTGTTCGTTGGGTGAACGAGTCTTTAGAAAGAGATGTTCTGCAGGTCTCCAAAGTGACCACGAAGGGGTGCGAAGCCTCAACTCGACGCTTTAAACTCGCGGGGACTGCCATCAAGGGAGGAACAATTGTTGATATTTCAGAAGAGCGTCATCTCGAGCGTCATCCATGAAAATATCTGTAAAATAGAGCCAGATCGCCAACTTTTCCAAGGTGTTCCAGAGAAGTGGGAGAGTTTGTGAGCGAGGCATCACCCACGAGACGAATTGCCCTTTTTTGGACAGAATCCAACAGTTTCAGGGTGCTGCATTCAAAATATGGAAACAGTATTCCAGGACAGGTCAGATCTGTGCCTTATAGATCATAAGCAGCTGACTGGACAAAACAAAAAATTTATAGGAGCAAGATGCACAATGTTGATATGGATAAAATACCTTGAATGGACTAAATAAATAAATTAAATTGGATAAATTGAAAAAAACAAAGGAATAAAATAAATCAAATGAATTGAAAGAATAGAATGAATTGAATGAAGTGAATAAATCAAAGAAATGAAATAAAAACAATAAATCAAATAGATCCAATAAATTCATTGAATTTTATAAATCGAATGAGATGTATATACATGGAATAAATCGAATGAATGGTATGAATCCTATGAATCGAATGAGTCGAATAAATCGAATTAATCGGATAAACCGAATAAATCGTATGAATCGTATGAATCGAATAAATCGAATCAACCGAAAAAATTGATCGAAAATTTATGCTGCAATGAATTGACTAATTTAAATAATTGAATAAACTAAATATTGAAATCGATGTTTCCTCAATTTCCAGGCTACCTGGTGCTCAGCCTGCTCAGCCTGCTAACCTGCGGCGGGCTGCTGGTGCTGCTGCTGAAACAGCCCCGCCCAGGCACGCCCCTCGCCGACATCGCGTCGGGGGCGGTGTGCGGCGTGGCGGTGCTCTGCCTCCTGATGGCCGCCACCGGGGTGGTGTCGAGCTACTGTTGCCGATACCCGCCGCCAGACAACCGGGTGCAGCATTGCGCCGAAGGGTTCGCGGTGTGAATGGTATACGGGGTGTTTCATAAAGTCGGGACCATATGGGAAAAGATTTTGATAACGATTCATTTCGGATTTTTGGGCGTCAAGTTTTGTTTTAATAAAGATGAAAAATAGACTGCTAGCTCGGTTGGGGTCACACTACATCTCAAAAGTTCATTTTTTTCAAAATATTCGCTCATTTGTAAGAATTTCAAAGAAGTTTACTGAGAAAAGGTGTTTTTCTGCAACCGACACAAAAGTCATCCATTTTGACACCAAAATTAGCTCTTAAATTGACGTTTCTATTACTGACACAAAAAAAGGTATGTTGCTAGGCAACATATTTAGTTCCTAGGAGCTAAAGTTGAATTTTAGTTCCTAGGAACTGAAAAGGATGTACTGGACGTCATCAAGAATGAACAACATTGTGATGGTTGGTTATTTGGGTTGAGACGCGTACCTGATTTGTTTCCGATTTCAGCAGATTTGGCATTTCATACCCATGCTGGAGATATAAATACACCTTATTATAGTTTAGTTTTGGAATTATGAACATCTCAGTTGAGTATTTTTGTTTTGATCAGGGAAGCCTTCAAGATTCAAATACTTGCTTGATCTGTATTTCATTCGTTATTCTCGGGATGGATAACTTGGTTTTGAATAATCACGGCAAGCAATAGTTTTTTTGTCTCGAACAACGATATTGTTTAGCTTCATTTGATTATCAAGTCAAACACAGTGTACTATGGAGAGGAATAAATAATCACTATTATCATTGTTGATATGCTCACTAACCTAACATTTTCCACGTCTTGTTCCTATAGCTGGCACTGGCGCGGTATTTGCCATTAGAGCACCTGGTCCATACACAAATATGTCACTCTGTGGTTGTATTTATATTGAAACTACAATTCGAACATCCTAGAAAACCTAACCTGCTGTTAATGCAGGTAGAATATTCTCACCACATGCATTATTTGTCAATATTTGTTGCATTGCATACATATGGCACGGCATTGGTATGGTTACTTCACATGTTTATTTGAGTTAATTGTTTCGGTTGCAGAAAAAATATCATGTTTCATTCGGATCAAAAGTGACTTTGTTCGACTCGCAAATTTTGCTTTCGCTCGGCTTCGCTAAACGCTTCGCCTCGCAAATGCAAAATTCGCTTGTCAAACAAAGTGTCACTTTTGATCCTAATAAAACAATCTACTATTTTTCTGTGACGGAAAAAAGTTTGGCATTTCATCTCTGTTGGCAGATTATAAAATGTCACTTCTCATAAATTACTTTTTTCCCGGATATATATCACATATATATATACACTGTTGATGACTTTTGTTGTGCTATAGTTCCGAAAAATGAGTCAATATACCGTCTCCGAGAAAGAAAGGAGCCCTTTCATCTTCCATTCGACTTCGCGGTTACGTATATTACTGAACAACCACTAAATTCGCAATTTTTTGAAATCAAATCACAGAATTAGACTGACAGAAGTGACATCAGATATTTGATTACTTCAAAAGAATGATAAAGATGCCTACAACGCAGGTGTCCCTACTGTTAAAAACTTAAAATTTCATGTCGATAATTTTCAGATTTCAAAATAATATCTTCTCAATATTGATTCGTCCTTTCTTCTGTCACAAAAAAAAAATGTATTATACACGGGAAAAATATTAGATTTCAGCTCACACAATCTGGAGCTAAAATCTACAACTTTTTTCCCTTGTATAATAAATAACTATTTTATTCCAATTTTACATAATTATGTGTTCAGAATTTGGACGATCTATTGCAGTTTTTGTTATTTTTTAAATTACTACAAATCATACCAATAACTTCATCATCTATCAAAATATCATCAAACTACTTCACGTATGGAACCAAATGATCGAACCAGAGTTTATAACAGTTTTGTCGAAATTAAAATTAGAAGGAATAAAAAAATATCAAGAACTCAGAGTTACAAGAGAACGTTAAAATTCGACAAACATGTGTAAAATTGGAATTGGTAGTTTCTTTGTAAACTTTTTGAAATTCGAACAAATATGACTATTTTCAGCGATTTGAAAAAAATTACCTTTCGACATATAGCGAAAGTCACGTGACCACAACCGAGTAGCCCATTTTTTCCATATTCTTTTGACGCAAAACTCAACGCCCAAGAATAAAAGACACACAGTGTGGTGGCAAGATTGATTGGGGATGGTGGTGGATATTTTCGAAAGTAAGAACATTGAAACATGTTGATTAGTTTCTAGAATCATGTATTTTTTAACACTTGGTCCATATACGTATACAGGGTGAAAGGTTCGAAAGATATATTATTAGTTCATTTTCGTAGATGTATTTTGATTTAAATGAAATAGTCACCTTCAATTTTATAATTATCTTCAAAAAGATTAGTACAACAAGCAATATCTCCGATATCACAATAGATATAATAGATGTGTATCTATTAAGAGGCTATCGAAAAAAAAACGGGCTTTCCATAAGGTAGTTAGCAAATTCAATAAAATTCAAAAATAAAAACAAAGCCAAAGGATGATAATTTAACAAAAAAAAAAGTAAACCCCTTTTCAAAGGGTAAACCATATACAAGGTGTTCTATTTGGAAATTGAGTTGAAAATTAAGAAGCAAAATAACTCATTAGAGAATGACAAAAACTTCGTACCTTCACCAATTTTTTTTGTGAGATGTGAGATATTGAAACAAACAATAGCACAAACCAATAGTCTATGCAAGGTGATTCATTTTTATCCAAATTTGAAGTGGGTAATAGATGTTCGAGTAATATTGAGAACATTATATATAGTTTATATACAGGGTGAGTCATTGAAATGGGAAAGTGAGATAACGACTTCGCTGTTTGACATAGGTGAATAAAAATTTTTGTGATGGTCTAGGCTCATGAGAAGCATATTTCTAAATTACTTTGCGTATACAGGGTGACTCAAATATGCGTGGCGTATGAAAGTTATACTTTTTATTATAGGACACCCTGTATTTTATTACATTTTTGGATTCTCCTTTGTGAGCTGATTTCATCAATGCATCACACTTGGGTCTAGCAAGAATGATTACAGAGATATAGGGTGTGCAAAATCGAGATATTTCAACTTAAGGATTTTTTTAGGTCGAAACTATTCATTATTGGTCAAAACGGCATACATGTCCCTATCTTAACTCTTGATTTACTATCTACTGATATTTAATTTGGACGAATACAGGGTAGTTCAAAATTCAGAATTATGAGCCACCCGGTATATATCATCAAGTTGAGCTCGTTGAAAATCTACAAGGCAGTTTTTCACGATCGAAAAATTCTTCCTTCCTGAACCATACCTTTTTTTACCATCTTTGATTGGCAATGATTACCATAATTATAGAAACATATAAGTATGCATAATATTAAAAAAAAAGAATCACCCTGTGTTTAACTTTTTTCGAATGCCGGGCAATAGTGTTTTGAAAAATTATTTCCACCAAACTCGTCAATTGAAAAAAAAGATTGGCTATTGTTTGTTTCTCATCATTGATATCGTTTTTTCCTATCATTTTATTTATCCTTTTTTTGGGATCCTTTATTAACCCAAACATAAACTGTCTCATATCAGCACCAGGTATCACGAACAAAAATCTGCACACGTGAAAAAGTGTGAAGATTTTTTTTCAATTTCTCTTCTAATATTCACCATCAAAGCTGAGGTCAAGTATCAATCGAAAATATCGAGTTTTTTGCCACCGAGAGCGAATGAAGAGACCCTTTTATTGTTCCCTTCTTTCTCAAGGGTTCGTCACGCCACCCTGGAAATCAGTCGATTGATAAACGAGTGGACACATTCTAAATCTCGGAAACTACACAGGGTGTTTCATTTTCCGACAGAATAATATGACAATTCAGCCAAAAAATGTTCAAATGAGATACGATACGATATTATTTCACCATATGTGGTACACACTGTATAAGTGGTCCCCACCAAGGGCTCTAGGTAAAGGAAGTATAGGAGAGTTTTACGTATTTTCAAAATTTCATTGTATTCGAGTTTTATTTGCTCAAATGCCTTATTTACATTTTTTTACCAAATGCAACGACATATTTTGGATACAATACACATTATGGAGAACAGGATGTCTGTTGAAATAATTATAGAGAACTTGCGAATAAGAAACTACATTTAAACTGAGCCCTTGGTGCGTTCCTATTGTTATTGCAAAGGGTGAATAAATTTCAAAGGAAATTAGGATGTAAACTGACAACAAAAAGACCATATCCAACGCATTGTTGGTAGAGCATAACGAGCAAGTATTTTAATTCAGGGGGTATCATGTATTGTACCTCCTAAAAAAATTGGTACCTACCCTTTATTGATCATCAGATGGTTGATGAAAACATTATGGAATGATCGCACAAAATTTTAAATTATTTTAATCATCAAGAATATGACCGTTGGGTTGAAATCAAGTCGAAATATATGAAAGAAAAAAAAGTTTATATAGTCATCTTCCAAAGAATTTAGACGTATAATTTTGTCCGTTATTAGAAAGTTGTTAAATCCACAAATGGAATTTGTACATAATAGATAGTTTTAAAACCGAATAGTATTTATTATTATATTTAATGTAAGGCTAATAACAGAGTGTATATTATGATGTTTTTGAATAAAATAAATGGAATAAATCTGCATTTTGTTTATTTCAATGGTTATATATTTCATTCAAGTCGCTGGTAATTTTCACACATGAATCAGACAGATTTAATACTCATCAGTGAATTTTATATTGATATCTGGGAATAAAAAAACGTTTATTCGGTGATAATTCGAAATCCACAACTATATTGATTTTGATCGTTAAATAATTTAAATCAACTAGAATTTGTTTAGCTTCCTACTATACTTTGTAAAAGAAAAGTAGCTTGGCCACCATGTATAATAGGCTCCAGAAAATAAATTCAGTGTAAATGAATAAGAACATCAATATTACTAGTGTTACCAGTATAATTCTGTTTTTATCTTCAATAGTATTAACGCTTCAACAGGTAATAGAAATCAAATATTTTCACCTTTTTTCATTGCCTACTGCAAAATATCAAGACAAAAGCCCGTTAATTATTGCTATTTAGGACACGATCGAAATGGTTTCCCCAACATATTGGAGGTATTTGTTAACGTTTAAACGAAACGGAACAGATTTTTAGATGCCGATAAATTTCAATACGAGGTCAATTTATTTTCCATCACAAAGTGGGTGTGTATTCTGATATTAGAGT